ACGGATCCTACGGATTTGTGGTGACGACGCGACGGTAGCAGCCGAGCGGTAACGTAACATTGCAATATATTAGGCGTATGCTTTACAAGTATATGCATAGAATGAAATTTCCAATCTTGCAAGGTGTTATTCACGATATTTCGAATTAGCGCCTACGAATATATCCCGGGTGTTATATTGGAAATCGATATTCACGACCCACACTCTTTGAGTGCCAATGTGTACATAGCTGTATCTTCTCCCTTGTGTCTTTATCCAATGTCACCGTTGCCAAAGGCCGTTCACTGTCTAGTTTATTTTCAACTATCGACCTATTCATACCAATATTTCACCAATACCTTCAAATATTAATTAAACTAAAGTTTTTGAACAAACTTGAGAAATATATTAATTTATCAAAGTCGGTTATTTTCGTCTTGTTATATATAATTTTTGCAAGCTCTAATTGTCTCTAACAACTATCAGTTTGTTTAATTTGATATTACAGAAGCTGTTAACACACATTTTTGCTTTACGACGATATTCAGATACAGCGTTACCTCGTTTTGTTTTAATTTTATCTTAATTTTATCTAGAAGTGGCGCAACCGAGATTAAATTTGCAGAGACTGAAGAGTGTATATTTGCAGTGAAATTTGCAAATTGTTAGCTGAGCAGCCACAACAAAATTGTCAAGAAATAATTGTGCGAGTATCATTCGTATCCGTAATGTAGCATATAAAAATAGTAAGGTGTATAATTTTTCTTTTTTTAACGTTTTACTAATTAGGGATGCGAATTTCAATTTTATTAAACGCATTTCTCAATTAAACTAGCTATCCACTTTCATCGTCTCAATTTCTTTGTATTCCTATTCTTGTCTTTTGCAATTATTGCAACTGTTGAATATAAAAGCGATCCAGTTGTGCGTTCGGCAGATTATTGATTTTATATTAGTGAAATTTATACACTATAATATAAATATTATAATATTAATATTTAAACACTTTTTTCTCCGATTTTTTCTACGATTTTATTTAACAAGATATCTTTTCTTCATTTTTTCCTACGTCTCTTTTTTTTATACAAAGTGTTCACACAACCAGTGTACATTTTTCAAACATTTCCGATAATATAATTAAAAAATATTTTAGACAAAAATTCAATTTCACATTAGCTCGTAAAAATTCTTTTAAAATAAAAAAAAACCTTTCTTTCGATAAAAAATCGAGGTCATCTTGATTTCTTAAATGGTATTACGTATTTTTGATTTGGTACTATTATAGTTGTAGATATCAAGATGAATTCAGCGATCTGTAATACTGTGATGAGAATGACTTTGAGGGGAGAAATTTACTACTAACAAATTGTAACAGAATTAGATTATTGAAATGCTTTTTATTTAACAAAATAAGAATTTTTATTTAAGAGAATAAGAATTTTCATTTTATTACGTATAATTGAAGGAGGTAATTTATTAGAGAAATTAATCTGAAACAGAAAATTATTTCATTAATGCCTAAGGACAAATGTCATAATAAATCTAGTTTCTGAATCAAATTCAAATTTTTACCTTCAGAATCATAGTGTTATAAGTTATTGAACTCATATTGATAACAGTTACAAGGTCGTGAAAAAAGAAATATCAACGGCTATTTAAAAAAGTTAAGGTCTTGATTTCATCGTCAAAGATCATTGTTTGACAATTTTGCATATTGCAGCCTGTAGTTGACGTCAAACATAATTTTTATTTGGAGAATTTTTTAATTGAATTATCTAAAAAATCGTACATCAATTTAATAAACACCTTATATATACATTGAAACTTTCACACGTATGTACTTTCTCTTTATCAATCTCTCTTCTTGATCATCTCTGGCTCTTTGTGTGCGCGTACATACATAGAGTGAAAATAAAAGTAAAAGGAATTTTGAACAAAGCATGTTTTTATGGTTATCCGGTACCCTGCTCCTTTTTTTGCCATGCAACTATCTTTAGTCGTGATTTTCATACACGATGCAAAGGGGAGGAGAAAAGATATAAGACCGATGGAAAGCAGAGTGGATTAAGCACGGTAGTGACAGATTTGTTTTATAGCTACGCCACATTTCATCTAGTTTTCATCGCAAGTGTACTTGCGCCAAGTGCAAAAGCCAAACCTCGCGCGTTCGTTTATTACAGTTTGTTGTTTCAAACTATTTTGTATCGCGTGGCTTTTCAATTAGCCCGACTGTGTACGTTTCATTATCCTATATACATATACTAGTTTCAATTAAAACTCCGCGGCTCAAATCACCGCAGTCAATAAAGTTATGAAAATAATCTTTTTGTCTATAAAATATTTTCGACCAATGCAATCGATGCAAATTCAAATGAAGTAAACGCGTTTTCGCAGTATTTTCTTTTCATATTATAAATAAATTTTCTTATTGAAAGAAATTGGAAGAAATTCTAGTCATTTACTTAACGCTTTCAGTATTTTTTTTTTTTGTGGTAGCAAATGTACTCTAATGTTGTTGTTTTTTCGTTTTAGCAATATAGATATTAAGATATTTAAGATATTTTGTTTCTTTTGTATATAAATATATTATAGTTATTCTAGGAATCCTTTTCTCTAAGAGCTAAGATATTTTGTTTCTTTTGTATATAAATATATTATAGTTATTCTAGGAATCCTTTTCTCTTTTCTTTTTTTTTCAAGAAAAATTGAAAATGAAGTTTTGAAACAAAGTATGTTATTATTTTGAAAATGTGATAGAAAATTTTTCTGGTAAAAAATTCAGATTTATGTTAAGCGAAACAAAGGTTGTACATTTCTTTTTTCACTTCATAGAATAAAGAAACTTGTTGTTTTTATACAAGCTGATTTACTATTCAACAAATTTTTCTTTTCACATTCCAATATTCAAATGATGAGTTTTGTAAAGTTTTCAATACAGATATAAAAATTGTTCTTTTTCTCATTTCATTCATTCAATTAACTCACAATCAGCTCACTTCACTGTTGTACGTATTAATTCTCTAATTATATAAGTAATGACAGGACTAAATATGAAATTATTATAATCCATTGTGACAAAAGTTTCGTAAAAGTTTGTTATTGTTATTTTTTATCATTATTGTATTTAAAATATGTATATAAAATATCTTATTAAATAAAATAATAAAATTTAATGAAATAATAATACACAAATAGTGCAGCCAGCGAATCATATGTTTAAAATCACTATTTCTTTTTACGTAATATATTTTATTGTGATGTATTTACAAAACATTTTATTTTATTTTGAAAGCACTAATATCTAAGTCAAATATGTGAATATATTATTTTTGTCATAAAATAACACATAAATAATAAATATAATAGTAAAGCAGACAAAAATTGTATGAATGGAGCAGCTGTATTACATTCAGGAGAACATCAAATGATCATTGGTATTAATTCAACACCGAGTAATCGTGTCTTGCAGAATTATATATTTTGATTTTTTAATGGAAAATAAAATATTGTAGAGGATTTTTTTTTTATAGTTAGGTATTTTTTTTTCTATAGTTTTTCCAAGAAAAGTCTGCTCTATCGCCTGCTCTAATTAGATTATTTTCTACATTCATAATTTCAAGATAAATTAAAAAGAAATCCAAACGTCCTTTTCATTTTGAATATTATTTAAATCAGGTTTGGATAAATTTTATTTTAAATAATAGTAAAAAATAATAATTTGAAATAACGAGGTATTTTCATTTTAATAGTAACTTTATTTTGTCCAAATGAATTACTTCCAAATAATCTTTTATTTGATTTAATTCACTGAAATAAACTGAAAAGATATAATAAATAGATTTTTTCACTACGAGATGAAGATTCTATGCAAATAATTTCTTGAAACACTAATTACAAAAAATACAAAAAATAGGAAATTATTTAAAAAAAGGGATGTTATTTTATAATGTCATTTGATAATGAAATAATAAAATAATTCGGAGACCAATCATTTTTTCGTTCAAATGATTAATGCAAGATTATTTCACGATAACATTGAATCAAATAAAATAGATATATTATATTATATATTTAAATAATTATATATATATATATATATATATATATATATATATATATATATATATATATATATATATGATATATATTATATTATTTAAATCACTTTTTAAATATTTTATTCAAATAATCCCCGATTATAATATAAATATGTTTAAATATTTCAGTCTTAAAAATATGCATCATTAAATTAAAGGTTTCTAAGAATTAAAGGTTTCTAAGAAATCATTTTCTGCAAAAGAAATTTGAATAACTTTTACATTTGAGGCGCAAAAAATGTCTAAAGTTGAGAAATTGTATCCTTTTGATTCAATTGATTTACTCAAAAACTGAGAATCGTCCAAAGTATTAGAATTCGCTTGCGGTGCAATGTGATAATGCATATTCACTGACACTGAATTAACTGGTATATACATTCTCTGCCGAGTTTTGATTAATGTTACGGAATAAGCTACAATTATTGGCGACCGCTTCATTAAGGTAGCAAATCGATTAGATGTCCGAAGCGTGACTAACGGATCGTTGGAAGTTTCGAATTTTGTACGCGTACGATGTTACTTACCTTTGCTTCACGATGTTCGACAATTTGGCGATCGACGACGAAGATAATCATTGCAAGGATTGTAGGAAAACTAACCACGGTCATGTTACATACGAATTTCCATTGGGATTCTCGAAGGATTAACATTTCCATTGGCCATAATTTTCCCGTTCAACATCTTGCAAGTACTTACTTCGTACGTAATACGCGATTAGGTGTGTTCTCGACCGATGATACATATATCTTTACTATACATTACTGTAGGTGGAACGATGGTTATTGCATTGTCTGGAAGCAAAATTCCTCGAAATGGAATTACAGTGAAGTACGAGAAATCCTGATTTGACGTTGTTAAGGCGATTTACGTATGGATTTGCGTCGGTCGCAGATGCGTTTCTTTCGTAAAATAATTATTACGTGATTGATTCAAAATGTCCAATTTTATTTTTTGTACGTTATACCGTAGAGATGAAAATCTGACGCTTTATTTTATTCTACGAATCTACTCTTACAATTCATACGTCTCTGGCAAGACAACGGAAACGAGTGTTGAACGTTTATATTAAAATCACTCGATACATCTATGTATCATTAAACGAATCGAATATATAAATATCAATCAATACAATTTCGAGTATGGAATTGTTGTTAACGTGTTCTATGATATTATATATAAGGAGCATCTTAATTAACGAAATTGATGAAACATTAAACATACAACAGTAAATACATATGTATAATAAATATATAATGTTGTTATTTAATGAGACATACGTAATGCTTCGTTTTCTGTAAAAAGATATTGCAAAATCTTTGTGTTTCGCGAAAGAAATTCTTCTCAAGTTTGGAGCAGATATTATAATTAACATACAAGTGTGTATGCGCATTGATAACATTTATTATTTCTAATATTTGAAAATGATGATTCGAGTATTAGAGTATGTAGAAGAGGTTCTTCTCTTTTCCTCCGACGGAAGCATATTAAACGAACGACTGTTGTGTATATGTATGTGAGTTCTTATTTCGTCCAATTATCGTTTGTTGAACACATTTAATATTTTCCTAAGAAAGAAAAAAGCATATCAAACGATAAAACTGAGTAGACACGAAATTTTTTATTTGTCCACGATTTTTTTAATCTCTTTTTTTTTCGTTTCGTATTTTAATTTGGACAATGTTCACACGGTTTCGGAATATAATCGTGTTTGTTTGAAACCGTTGCAAATTTACGAGCGTAAGGTGCGTTAAAAAAAAATTTAAGACCACAGTGGACTGTATGATTCAGTTCGTTCGAACATTGTTAATTTGCAAAGCTTTTGTCGAAAACGTGAATACGCAGTTTTTACAATTTAGAATTGATCGGATTCACTTTTGTGCTAATTCAAACGGCAAACATTATAAAGTGATATTCCGCGACATTTTTGACGGATTAAGTTTGCCTGAGCGCTCGACAATGTCTTTTCAATTCTTTGTTAACGCGCCGTTGTTACATGAAATTGATTTTTCTACGATTGAACCTTTCCGACGATTATTTGCGAAACAGTTTCCAGCATTTTTATAAAATGCACGAGGAAATACACGACTTACAAGAGAATGAAAGCGAGTGTTGAATGCGAGAAAATGTTTCATATCGATAAAATGTTTCGCGTCCTTTTTCCTCCTGTTACTGAAATATCTGGCGTGACTCGTTCATCAGTGTTTAATTAAATGTAACAAGATAGTTATTTTTTTCGACTTGATACAGTTTCAGGTGACTGCATCGAAGTAAAAAGTCATCATAACCTTTGCATACGATTACGACGATAAATATAATTGAACGATATAATTAACATAAATGGAATACTTGATTTGATATTGCTTGAGTTTATGTCTCACTGCATATTTCAGGAAAATTGTTCAACTTTGTACCTAGTGTTGCAGATATGTTGCGTATTTTAATGTTCAACATCTAATGGAACGAAGCTTCCAAAATATCGAATTTTGAAAATTTAACTTCCGGCATATTGTGATATCTCGTAAATTAATCAAATTGCTTCCTGAAATTGTATGAAAATTTCACAATGAATGTGCGACATCAAGTGTTACTGTTATTGTTATTTCAAGCGAAGACTTTAGGAAGAAGAGATCAGACCTGAGGAGTTTCGGATTAAATTAACAAGCAAAGATGTTCAGCAAATTACCGATAACATTAAATGCCAGTCGCTGGAGCGCAAGTAACACTGTAAAGCAAAAGGAAATGGAATCAAAATTATTTGGAATTTTGCGGCAGGCATCAATTCGGTGACAAAGTTGACACAGTGGGCTGGTCACGTGACGCAGGTACGCCGCAGACGAAGTTGATTCGAGATGCGTATACCGAGGAAAGTCAGAAAAATCAACATGACGTTGATGGACGCTCTCGACGTAGCATTTCGCCGATCACCGCCGTGCATAGCTGCTGGTTTTTCCTCTTCTACAAACAGAGATATAACAATGAGAAAATAACGTTTATTCAGTGAAAACGGACAGTAAGTGAAAAAGTTAGGATGAAAATTAAATATTGCACAAGTAAATGAGCGAAGGGAACGACCATCTGAATGAAAGATTTTGCAAACTGCAAAGGTAATGGGTAAACGGGATGTTAATTTCAAGTCAAATATTTAAATGATTTCGGTTGCTATTAATGTTAAGAAAATTTGACCAAATACGGTTTAACTGGTTTCAAGGCGTGCATTTAAAACCAAATTTGTTTTGAAGATCGTTTTGACAATTTTTTTCAAGATGATCGTATTAACATTTATTCTTTATAATATGACGCCGTAGTCAAAGAGAATTAAGCGAGCTAAATACCGTGACTATGAAGTGATCTTGAAGAGTTTATTAATGTTAACAAATTTTTTTTATAAAATTGATATTTATTTTTTTCTCTTTGCTCTTTTTTTGTAAACGTAATAAACGTTAGTAAACTTTCGAGCAATTTAATAAATACCTACATACTTTCGGAATGCTCAAACTGTATTTTTGTAATAGTGTTTGAATTGCGTTAAGCTAGAGAGTTGTTAATGTATAATTGGTAAATAAAACTCTTTTTGTGAAATTTGCGACTACTGTGTAGTACAGAGATTCAATAAATATTCTACTAATGTATCGCCAAAATACCATAAGAAATGCCATAATCGTGTGCTGACATGTCTTGACCAGCATTTTGATCAGTTCATGAAATAAATGTTACTGTTCTTGTTATGTTATTTTTATATCGCTTAGAATGAAATCCATTTCTTCGTCTTAGAGATCACTTCCAGATCAACGTGTTATAGATCGCTGTCGATTGTAATATCACATAGTAAAGAAATGTTAATATGTCAAAAAAGTATGATGAAAAGAATTATCAAAATGACAGGATTGTTTTTAAGTAACATTAAATGCACGCTTTGAAATCATTTAAATCCTATTTAGTAATTTTTTTTTCTTGACATTTTCTTAACATTAATAGAAACTAGGAAAGAATAATTTAGATGTTCGATTTAAAATTAACACTCTGTACACTTTATATTCGTAAAGGAAAAAGAAACGAAACGGCTACGAGAAAATGAGAGGAAGAAAAAGTAGAAAACACACCTTCGATTACGTGTATCATGATATATGCTGGCTTGGCATTACTGGGTGAACAAGTATAATTAGCACCGTGAGAAAGTTTCACTTTGTCAACCACGAGAATCGAACCATTTTTTGTAGCCTCAACTTTCACCCCTGGTTCATCGTCATAATTGATCATACGACCCTCGCGATACCAAAAGATGAAACTTGGTGCCTCAGTCGATGCTATTAGTTGACATTCCAATCGAAGACTAGATCCTTGTTTGACGTGAAGATCCGGTCCTCCGGGAATCATGGAGTACGCTTCGGTGATGCTTAGACGAATGAATCGTTGTTGAACCGGTTCCGTTTGAATCTGTCTCGATAAAAACGCGTTTCAAATTGTTTCAATCTGTTTAGACATTTTCATGTATTAAATTACCTGGCACTCGTAAAGTCCAGCGTCTTCGCGTTTAACGTTTTTAATCAGCAAAGTCCAGTCTGGAGTGTTTGACACAACCATGAATCGCGTATCGATGACATGAGTTCCTGTACCCAGCGTCAATAGTTGTCGGTCTTTTCGCCTGATCCAAGTCACCTAAAATGAACAAATTTTTCATTGCATGAAAATACGCAAATAGCGTATGAATTCGTTTATAGTAGTTGTATTTTTAAAAGTATTGTACGGAGGCACGTCATCAGGCAATAATCATCACACAAGTTATATACAGAGTGTTTTCAATTCCATAGTACTGGAAAGAAGGTGACATCAAAGAATAAAGAAGTTAAAAAGAAAGAATAAAATTTTGTCATTTATTTTCAAGAAAATAGAAAATTCATTGAGACAACTTGAATTTGGCTAATTCTAGACTAGATAGAAGTGAAGAAATAGAGAGTTATTTTACCTGTGAAAGTAAGTGAAAAATGCAGAATAAAATTTTTTTCATTTAAAATTATGTTTTCAAAAAAAAAGAGCTTTGAATATATTTAGTTAATTGGCTTAGTAGACGAGTATTTAAAATTGAATTTCTTCGAAAATGAAGGGTATTATATTTTTTATTTTTCGCAGATAGAACAATCTCCTGTTTGTTTGACCAAAATTAGCTAAATTTAAGTGTTTGATAAATTTTCTAATTTTTGTTCGAAAAACTTTTATTCCTTCTTTTCAATTTATCTTTTAATGTAGAATCATTTCTGGTTGTGCCATTATTTTGTATATTAAAAATATTTGGACGCAAGAGATTTTAGAAACTAAAGATAAACGATTACATTTATAATTCTGACAGTTAAGAAGATTTTGTATATTTGATGGTGTTTCCGGTTTTCTATATTTCTCTTAGCTAAGAAATATTATTGGTACTCATTTCAAGAGACCGCTTCTTTTGTGATATTTATGGCACAGCAAAACTGAAGGAAAGTAGCTTTAATAAGAAATCCTTTCCTCTTCCTTGTAAGTACGAAACATCGTCATCCAGCTTATCCATCCGTAATGCTATTTTCGTCTGGTGACAGCCGTTATTCTTGCATTCGCAGCAAAGACGATTTAGAAAATGCACGAACGTCGTTCTTCCACACAAATGGTAAGCGAGCTAAGAATATTACGAAAATGTACGGATAGCCTTTAGAATATAGCGAGGTTTTAAATTACAGCTTCAACTTGAGTCGCCGATCGATGCACTCTGACAATCACAGTTGCTGCAACATTCTCTTCTTCAACGGGAACTGAATCACAGTTAACAATAGAATATACTTGTTACAACTCTGAGAGAATTCTTGTTTTCGCAGATTTCTGCCAAATCATTTGTTCGGCTGTTAAAACAAATAAACTTTGACGCTTGACCAGTTGTACGATTTCGCTGCACTATGAAGCGTTTTTTAACAACTTGTTCTTTCTGTCATTAGTTCGACAGATATAATCGTGCAAAATACGAAACATCGTCTCTGTCGAGACTCTCATTTCTCATGATTGACGATTTTACGTTACGTTTATTGTAATTCGAACGATCATAGAATCACTATTTCAACGGAAGTACGTTCTATTCATTTTATTAGTTATTAATACTAATAATTTTAGTATAATTATTTCCTGATATCTCTCTTTATGATAAAATGAAGCTTGTAATTGACTGTACCAGTCAACAGAAAGAAATCAGTCTCGTTGAAGTTCTTGACGAAAAGAAGGCCGACCATTCGCGTATCCTAATTGTTTTACGTCGAGTATACTCGACGTTCACGGCAGACAGGTTTCGCGATTTTCTAATGTGGTTCGATAAGTACTCCTATATTACGAGAACACTCGAGTATAAATGAGCCGAATAATAAAGCATCTGATCTTTACGTTGCCCATTAGTCACGTGATTCTGCTTTCGAAAAATTTCTCACGGGTGAAAATTTCTCTAAAAATTTCGCTGCCCGATTCGATTTGTATTTGTCTCCGCTTTAATAATCGGCTTTCGGCCAAATCGATAATGACAGACTGCACGGGAAAGATATTAGAGTGCAGACTTAATCAAATCTTCGTTTTACGTTAGCGATAAAGAAAAAAGAAGAAAATAATCCTTTTTTCCGGTCAGCCGAGTTCCATTAATCAGGCTTTTCTCTGCACGTGTGAACGCAGCAGTGTGATAACATCGGCGCCGTTTAATTAATGTCTCCCTCGGAAGAACGGTTCGTGATCGCGATAAATTTATTGAATTTCGGCCGTCGCCTCGGCCTCTACTTCCTTTACGAAAATCCACGATTTATCTTGCGCTTTCACGTGGTGTTCGAATTTAAAAAAAAAAAAAAAAAAAAAGGAAAGGATTCGGAGACACAATGAAACGAAGTCCCGGCTAACAGAGGAATCGAAATAGGCTAACAGAGGAATCGAAATAGACTCTGTTTATCTAGGATAGCGAATGAATCGTTTCGTAATTGTATTGTTCGTACCGAACGGCGCAATTCTATTTTCTCTTATGACACACGTAGTGTTTGAGTGTCGAGAAAGTTTATTGCTACTTGCTACAAAGTGTACACTTTGCTTTCTAAAGGTTCTTACAGCAACGAAGCTTGCTTTTAGTTACAAAGGAAACGTACAATCGCGAAACTTTAGGATGTATTCGTACATATGTAAACTTCGTTAAACATAAACTGAACGCTGTACGTTTCTCATGAATATTATTAACTAGCGTGCTTAGTCTATAGGAGTTAACGAATGCGAAGTATCGTATCAACCGACTATACGTACTATGTAAATTGTAAAATTCGAGTGGTCTTGTGAATCTACATCGTCACGGCGGTTTTGAGAATTTTAACAATTATTCGGAACAATATCTTTAAAATATGAACGAAGATTTATGGTTAAAGACAATTTTGCTTCAAGTATATTCTTGATATTAATAAATTTCTTCTATTTGTGAAATGAACGTGACTACATTATAATTCGTATTACTCTATTTATGGTAATAGGAGAAACGAAATATCGAAGATAATATTTAAAAAGTATGCAAAAATATTTTAATTTAATTTAATTGATGGAAATATATAAAAGTAGATATAAAGAAAATAAATGCTGACACTGCCGCGCAAAATTCATGACTTTTTGATTTTTCAAAATGACTAACTGCACAACAAACAGGAAAAAAACAGATAATTGATATATTTTATAAAACTCTTGATGAAATAGTATGTTTTTTTTTTAAAATTCCTTTAAACTCAATGGAATCTGTCAAGTGTCAAGTGTATACAGGAAACAAAAAGTATTCGTACATTATCTAAATTTATTTGGAAACCTCTCTTTTACAATATTGATATTTGTAATGGTTTTACACTGTTTTGAAGAAGGTAAAGTAAAGATACTTTTTTTTTTTCTCGAAAATGCAAACCGTTTACAAAATTTCTCTTAAAATTTATCGATTTCTTCTCACGATGTTAAAAGTATTGCAAGTATCGACAATTTCATCAAGCGTACTATGCACTGTGTGATATTTAATTTTTCACACTTTTGAAACAAATATAATATTTGTCATGATTTTTGAGCGGGAGTGTATGTTACGAATTTTTCACATAAAATATATAATACTGGACAATTCAGACAAAATGCATTTCTAATTTCTTATTCGTTGTATTTTAATCTTACATTGTAGTAGAATTTGAGAGAGAGAGAGCTCTGCCACTTTATACGAGTATTACAATGTAAGTTCGAATATTCGCATTATACCACATAAAGGGACGCGTGCCGATGTTCACGTATCCGTTCTTCGTGCATGAAAAGTAACGCGTCCGAGCAGAAAAATACGAGCTTGAAAATGCGTGTGTAGTTGGAAGCGCGAAACAGAAAAAAAGAAACGAGTATCAAGAGATGAAGTAGCTTGACGCGCGCCTGTGTGCTATGAATAAAAGATTAAAGAAAAGATCGATCTTCTATCGAATAGTATCTTGCCTGTTGCAGTATCGATTGCCCCTTTCCCGCGTTACGATTTCCTGCGATACTCTGCATCGTTTGCGAGATACTGTCCACCATTATCATCGTTATTTTCGTATGTTAATTTCATTAATCATTTGGACAATCCCTTTGTTTGAAATCAAAAGCAATTATTCTTCGCTTAATAGATAGATGATGCAAGTTTTAGATCGATATTGTCGAATAGATAAATAGCAGGTGTGTTCCTAGAGCGCACGCGATAAGACCGTATATCGTAATACATGGTTAGAGAATCCACACGTAGGTAGTAAATCTTCTGTTTAATTACATTTTGCATGCATATTTAACACTGCAGTTTCTTCCACCGTATTTTATATTCCTACAAATATTTGTTTTCTGTTTGTTGGTCGACTTGCGTTTTCTGCGTGAGTAAATATCTGTACGCAATGTTAATTGCATTTGTTTATCGTTACGAAACGTACACGATGTGTTTCGTTTTCTCCAAGAAATTTTCTTTTACAAAGCAGGTGAAAGTAACTGTAAAAGTGAACGTAATACAGGTGAAAGTAATAGTAAGGAAAATGAGGAGCTACCGAAGTCAAAAGATAAACCATTTTGTCTCACATCCCGTCAATAGAATACGTATGAAAATGCAAATTACCGAAACAAAATTTATGTTGTTGATGCTCAAAGAGGATGCCCGTTGTTCTTTCATTATGTCCCTTCGTTAAAAGTCTTTTCAACGCTTGATACTTTGAAAGCGAATGCAATTTCTCGTTTCTTCTTCAGACAGTTGCGTTTTTAATGGACTTTTAACGTACGAACTTTCTCCTTGACAACCTAGCTTTTAGCCAACGGAGCGGCATCTGTTTCCCTCTTTCTTCGAAAAACTCGTGCAAAAGTTCACCGGTTTATGAGAAAATCGGCGGCCGTATTGTTCCGTACGCTGCCATATTGCCACCATCTGGTCTTGGCCTCGAATCGGTTCGACAAAGTAGAAGCTATCGTTTTTGTCTTCTTCTTTCGTTGCCTTTAGCTTTCTTCGATGCACGTAATCAAGACTTTCACGATACGCGATATTTTCATCTAATTTCAAGTAGTTTGTAGTCTTATTGCGATGCCTTCGACAATGACGTTATTCTTTGAGTAAACTCAATATTGCTCAAAATACTATTTTCTCAGTATTCTCTAGTATT